ACGACATTCTTCACCTTTTTTATTACTTTAGTATAGCGACAACGGTTTATGTTAATATAGTTTTGGTACCTTTGTTTTGAGGAATAAATATTTTGTTAAAATACGATTAAAACCTGGAAGTTTGAAGGGGTTTCTGCTCTGTGAAATCGCTTAACCTGAAAATATTTTATATTTATATTAGATCCATGTTGCAGCTATATAATGATAGTAGCACGAATGGGTTTGTTCGACCCGGAAAGGACCACGCTCTCGTAAAATACCTATATAAAATAGCAGCTCAATACTGCTGTTTCGTATGGTGATTGTAGATACCCCGAGACCCATTATTACTGGCAACGATCATCAATAAATTAGTGATCGATGGGAACGAGGCATCATTCCATTTGTAGATGTATATTAGCCTCAGCATCCACTTACCATCAGGTGGACCGCGTGCTCGTTTGTTACTGTTATTCTTAAAAAAAATATGATGTCTGTGATGTAGGTACCCATATCGTCAGTACACAGTATGCAGTATAATTTAAAATTTTATATTCCAATGTGTGCAGTATTTCGATTATTTTCAGAAGTTTCTATTTTTCAGATTTTTACATAAATGGTTAATTTTTTTTGATATAACGAAAACTAAGTTACATGCACAACGAAGGTTAAATGTTTACATTTTTTTAAATCAGACTTATTAACTTTTCACCAATATGTATTTATCATTTACTATTAGCTTAAAATAGGAAATATACAACTTTAATTATAACTAACTACGAAATCATGACTAATGTCAATTAGTTATTAACGCCATTTACTCAGTTCAGCTGCCTCTAATGCCGCACTTCAGGAGGTACCCCTAAGATGAAAGACCGCCGACTATGTACGTAGCATCCAACATAAAAATAGAATAGAATAATTTTTATTCAATATAGAATATTATATAATACTTATCGTCTTTTTTTATTTACCACTGGTTCGGAAAATACCTCTGTACTGGGAAGAACCAGCTAGAATCCCAGCGGAACTTTTTTTACAACATATTTCACTTCACAATAATTTTGGTTTTAGTTTGTACAAGTTTTAAATGATATATAATAGAACCAGCATGGTGTTCACCTCATTCTCAGGGTTTTTTTTTTCACTTATGTATTCTTTGATATTATAAAAACCTTTTTTGTAAAATATTTCTGTAATAAAAGATTTAAACTTATTTATTGACAAATTTTGTACATTTTCTGGGATTTTGTTGTAAAAGCGTATACTTACATTGCCCCATAAATGAATTACTAATTCTGTGGAGTCTAGTAACTGGTATTACAAGCTTATGTTTGTTCCTTCGTGTTTAAAGTATGAACAATCTTTATTCTTATCAAAGCTATTTGTTTTTATGTACATACATTACATTTTCATAAATATGTTGCGATGCCTAAGTAAATAAGTGTATTTCTTTCAATTTTTCTCTAAGGGACTTCTTTTACAATTTAAGTTATAAATCGCTTGTACGGCTCTCTTTTGGAAAAACAAATATAGCTTCGACGTCAGTCCCATTACCCCATAGCAAAATTCTATAAGTCATCACGCTATGAAAGTAACTAAAATAAACTAAGCTAGCTGTCTCAACATAGGTGAGACTTCAAATTTTTCTTACAGCATATGCTGCGGAGCTGAGTCTTAGATATATGGGGGCCCCATTGAAGCTTCGCGTCAAGCGGTATCCATGGCTCAACTCCTCCCCATTTAAGAGCACATTGGTATTTGAATGTTTAACATTAGGTATTTTAAATTTAATACATTTTGTCTTATTGCCGTTTAAGAGCAAATCGTTCGCGTTAAACCAATGTGCGATAGAGCAGTTCGATAGTTGAGTTTCGCAAGAACTTGCCTTTCCCCCAAGGGACTAAGTTCATACCGTTGGGTCACTTTCACAAGGCTCTAAAACAGTAAAAAATATATAGCGCCCGTCGGATAACGTCGTTCAGAAAACTGTCACGGGACAACCTACCAGTACTCTTCTTACAGAAGAGCGGAGCCCAAACTAGTCAACGCTACTATCGCAGGGATGCTGATAAGGCTGACATATCACCCCTAATCTTTTTTAGTCGGACTCCTACAGCTTTGCTCAAGCTTTCCCCGTGTTACTTGATGACAAAGCGTATAGATACCATATCGTGTCGTGTGCGTCGTAAAAGGCGACAGAGGTTAACAAACAATTTTTTTTTATATAAGAGGTGCAAACGAGCATGCGGCTCACCTGATGGTAAGTGACTACCGCCGCCCATGAACAACCGCAACACCAGGGGAATTGCAGATGCGTTGCCGGCCTTTTAGAAAGGTGTAAGCTCTTTTCTTGAAGGTCCCTAAGTCGTATCGGTCCGGAAAAATCGCCGGTGGTAAACATTTCCATAGAGAAGTTGTACGAGGAAGAAAACTCATAGTAAAATGCACAGTCGTGGACCGCCAAGCATCCAGATAGTGAGGATGGTATCGTGAATTTTGACGCGATGTACGTTCGTGAAATTTGGCGGCTGGAATTAATCCGAACAATTCCTCAGAGCACTCCCCGTGGTAAATTCGATAGAAAATGCAAAGGGATGCAACATCCCTACGCAGTGCCAGGGTATCGAGCCGATCAGAAAGAACTCGGTCGTCGACGATTCGAACCACTCTGCGCTGGATGCGGTCAAGTGGAAGGAGCTGGCACTGGGGTGACCCGACCCAGAGATGAGAATAGTAATCCATGTGAGGTCGAACTTGCGCTTTGTAAAGTTGCAAGCGATGTGCCGGCATGAAACACTGTCCCGCTCTGCTGAGCACGTCAAGCTTTTTAGAGGCCAATTTGGCCTTTCCTTCTAAGTGACCACGGAACTGCACAATATTCGATATGTCGACGCCGAGGATTCCGATGCTAGCTGAGGCAGCAAGGGGAGTGCCTTTGAAACTGAGGAGATACGACAAGGGGTTCTTTTTAGCAGTAAACGCGCAAACTTGTGTCTTCTGGGGATTGAACTGGACTAGATTTAGTCGACCCCAATCCGAGACTTTGTTAAGCAAAGACTCGACTTCAGACACAAGTTTGTCCCGGTACTCAGCGATGTTTTCCCGAGAAATATTGGCACGGCCGGTATATAAGGCATCACCAGTGCTGTCGTCTGCATAGCAATGAATGTTACCAGTTAGAAACATATCATTGATATGCAAGAGAAACAGCGTTGGTGATAGCACGCTGCCTTGTGGAACACCAGCGTTGATAGGCTTGAAATCAGAGCATGCACCGTCTACTACGACCTTGATGCTCCGATCAGCAAGGAAACTGGTGATCCATTTGCACAATTTCTCGGGAAGCCCATAGGAAGGAAGCTTCGAAAGAAGCGCTTTGTGCCAGACCCGATGGAAGGCCTTCGCTATGTCCAAACTAACGGCCAATGCCTCCCCCTTGGACTCTACTGCCTCCGCCCATCTATGAGTCAAGTAGACCAGATCACCAGCTGATCAACCCCGACGAAAACCGTGCTGGGGGGTCACTAATCAGCTGGTGATCCTCAAGGTACCTCATGAGCTGGCAGTTTATAATGGATTCCATTATTTTGGAGAACAAGGAGATGATGGCGATAGGCCTGTAGTTGGACGGGTCTGAGCGGTCGCCTTTTTTAGGGATCAGGTGGACCAAAGCTGTCTTCATTGAATTCGGGACTACGCCTTGGGCGTAGGAGTACCGGAAAAGACGCGTTAAAACCGGTGCCAACTCCGGAGCACACGTCTTCAGCACAATGGGAGGGATTCCATCAGGCCCACTCGACTTGCTGACCTCCAGGGAGAAGAGTGCTTTGCTAACCGAGCGCTGTATAAACCGCACATCCGGCATGGAGCACTAACACCGCGGGATGGTCGGCGGTGTGTTCTCCACGTCATCAAGAATCGAGTTGGACGCAAAGAGAGAGCTTAACAGATCGGCTTTTTCCTTTGCGGCATGGGCCAGTGAGTTGTCCTTTCTGTGCAGAGATGGAATATGATGGCTGACAGAAGTTCCCTTGGACAGCCTTGGCGAGAGACCCGAATGCACGGGTCCCCGACGGAAGGCGAACTAGCTTCTCGCCAATTCTGCCGATGTGCTCAGACTTTGCCTTGGCAATGACGTTTTTGAAGGACCTGGAGGCGGAATCATACTTCTTTTTAAGAGCGCTGGTGTTTACATCCCGAGACGTTGATGCGTCAGCCCAAACCCGGTAGTACTCCTGCTTATATCGTGATACTATTTTAAGGAGCGACCAAACCATGGCTGGAATCTGCCTCCGATAGGCACCACAGGGATGGAATAAAAAGTTCCATACCCTGAAGTACCACATCAGCAACAGAATCGGCAACAACGCTGGGAAAGATCGCATCCCGTCCCAATCGGCCGACCTATAGTGCCAATCACGGCGGAAAGCTGCAGATCGCAACTGCGATGGGAGCGTGAGTGGCACCGTACTCCGGATGAGACAATGGTCCGAAGAGCCCAGAGAGGCATCGACGGAGACCTGATATCCATCCGGATGAGAGGTCAGCAGAAGGTCCAACAGGGAAGGTACATGATCCTTCACATCTGGGATCCGCGTAGACGAAGTAACTTGTTGTGTTAGACCATATGACAAGGCAAAGTCGTAGACAGATCTACCCGCATGATCGGTTAAACGAGAACCAAGCGTGACAACATGGCAAATCCCCCCAATGATGCAATCTATGAGGGAGGCTTATGTTCAGCAGTAGACTTGATTGAGTATAACGGTAACGGTAGCGGCTAATTTTACCTCTCCTTTCCTTAGCCGAACCAGTTAGAAGGCGAGCTTGATCTTGGTCAGTTTCTATAGTGAAACATCCTTCTGCACACTTTGTACCAACGCCCATATATATAAGACTCCACAAAGCACTTAAAACATCAGCAATTTAAATGAAATAAAATCAGTAAAATGCTGTAATTCAACCCAACGATAATTAATCAAGTAAGCATCTATTACCGAAAAATTAAAAAGCTTGTATCATGTAAAATTTATTGTATTTTTTTATTATTTTGAAATCACATGTTGTAACATTCATCTTGTTAATTAAAAATATTCACATTGTCAATTAAATAATCTATTACAGTAGTCTAGCTTACGATTAAGAGAAATAATGCCATTGAGTACTACTTGATGGAAACATTATGCCCATCAATTACACGATTGGTCGAGTCAATCTACATCAGAAACATTACCCTCTCGTTTTACATACAAATATACAATGTTTATAGTACAATTACAAGAACGCGTGTATCGTCGACATTCACTAATAAAATGGCATTTATATGGTGTACTAATAAGACTGATCCTTAACATTAATGTATAAAAAATCATAAAAATACATCATGCTCTTTGGCTTGCACGACGGACAGTTATTCTACATAGATCGTTTGAAATTAAAAAAAAATATTATCTACTAGAGATCAATTGAACTGAAATGTACAACAGAGTAATTATATACCAGACACGACAAAGTAAATATAATAATGTGATATGCAATTTTGTATGCACCAAACGATAAATCAAATTGTATACGAATTATTTGAGCCATCGCGACGCGCAACGCGCTAACTTAACTTATAAAATGCAATTTTTATCATAAAGAGATTGAAACTTTTCAGTCTAATTACATTTTGATCATTTGGCAATACTGTTCAATTTTATATTACTCCTATAAATTAAATTAAATGAATACAAACCTTCATAATAAATTGCCATAGGAAGACTAATAATCAGCGCCAATTATCTAAGGGAGAAATATTTTGAGTTGCTTTCACTATAATTACAATTATTCTAGAGTAAAAAGAAATAATACGTGTCAATATAAAATTACTAGGTAAAGGAAGTCTCAATAGTGATTTCTCCCTGGCAGTGTGCCAATGAATGTTGCGGTAGTAAAAATTTAATTTTGAGCTTAATAAATTTATTAAATATTATAATGTTTGGAATGATTGTCAAACCTATTCACATCAGTAATAAGAAAATAAAAGGAATTCGAAAACAATTAGGAGTGAGTAAAAATTGGTTTCATGGCACCACAACTTTTCCACTTACTTATAACATTTAAATGTAATAATGAAAATAACTTTATATAAAATGACACTTACACAGGTTCCACTTAAACAATGCTGCAATTGTATATTCTAATATCTGTATGAATATTAGTGTGATATTTATACATCGTAGCTTGTATATACCTCTTCATTTATATACAAAAATATACATAAATGTCTGGTTCCTTAAGCGTTTTACTGCAGCGTCACTGGTACGAGAGTGTATCGTCTTTCACAATCTCTATTTCATTGTATAAAAATAATAAGCTAACTTTTGTAGAAAACATATTTTGCCAATCAAAATTGAGCCCAGCGTTTGAGTAATATAGAGCGATTTAATTTTTTTTCTTGAGCAACTAATTATCTTACCAAATATAAAACGAGTGTTGCGATTCCAAGTAAAGAAGTATTTATAAGACACGCCAATAAAAACACGATCTCAAAATAGCAAAAGGCTGTCCGTTACCGATACTATAAACAATTTTAATTTCGTTTAATACGCTGTTATAATAGTATAATAATAATAATAACGGAACAGGTAGGCAAAAAAAAAGAACGTGTTTAGAAATTCGGACCGTGTCATACTGGCGTATTAACATAATCCAGACAGTATTTATTTGTATTTAGCCCCGTGGTGTGTGAATATAGACGGAGCTATAGTGTGAGTGAGATAGAAAGCAAGCGGATGCCTTTTTAAATCGTTATTTTATTGGCAAGTCTTATTATATAAGAGTGTGGTATATGTAAGTTTCAGGTCCATTTGTAACTTTTAAAATTACTGCAGCCGTAAAGACGTCCGTTGATTTTCACAGTTTCGTTTTAAACGAGGATACAATAAATGTAAACGGTCCGTGACAATACTGAACTGTCTGCCGATAGAAGTGAGCGATTATGAATGATCGCATCAAAATATTTTCGGTATATCGCTACAAGCGAATACAATCAACAATTAATATTAACTTTATCGCTTCAAATTACATATATTCTAAAAAAATACTTATTGCCTATCGAATTAAAAATACTAAATCAGCCGAAAGAGACAAGTTTCGACTAACGCATTTTATATACCAACTCCCGACTTTATTTATACCACGCAACTTAGTTACAGGATGAACCACAAAATCGCTCGAAAAATCATTCAGAATCGCTCCCTCCTATCGTATTTTAAATGTCGGTCTGCGATCGTTGCGGGTTGGTGACCGTCAGAGACTCGGGCGAATGAAGAGTGATGGTAGTTTGTGAGGCGACGGTGACTTTCTGGTCTGGTGGTCGGTAAACGTAACCCAAAAGCAGAGGCACACCAGGCGCTAATGCGACCAACTCCAGTTGACCCCCGCCCACTTCGCCCGATGCACATTGCTCGTACTGTCAGACCTGGAGAGAGAGAGGTCAAGTTAAACTGTAAATTTTATAAATTGATATTCTTTAAGGCTTATATATGAAACTAATAAAAATGTTGAACAATATACTCGTATCTATAGAATAAACCCAATTCTAACATTGGACGATACGCAGGCTCGTGATGAAACAACTCTATATAATATTCAGCATTTTTTTAATTTATTTATTCTTAGTGTACATTATTTACATTTTAAATTTTGCCATATTGTAAGCAAGTTTGTCGGCAACGCAACAGTTTATCGTTTCACTAACAATTAACACAAACAATTAAAGAAACATTCACCACTATTGTCCATAGTCTGGTGTCAATGACTGATAATGTTTCCTTCAGATGGCGTTATACATTATGGATTTGCATTAAGCGTCTCCCACGCACAAACGGCTTGTGGTGGCGGCTTACCGCGAGCCGCGGCTCCAGCCACTGTAACAACTAACAACACACCAACACGGTCACAGTGGCAGCCTGAAGCGCCATTCGCGTTGGTGTCTTTGTTACGATCGGACGTCAGTCAACATGGCTGGCTAACCATGACGAAGTCTTATTACTCTTATTATCATTACAGCCCTTCACAAGTCCACTGCTGAACATAGGGCTCCCCCAAGGAATTCCACAAAGCACGGTGCTGAGCCACCTGCATCCATCGACTTCCTGCATATCTTACCAGGTCGTCACTCCATCTAGTGGGGCGACGCCCTACACTTCGTCCATTAAAACATTATATTATATTAAATGTATTTACATATTAATCCGAGCGCTATTGATGACAAATACACTGAATGATCTCTAGACACTGCGTTTGAATTTTAATGAAACGAAAAACGTTTATAGGGCGTTTACGTCATCATCATTATCATTACAGCCCTTCACAAGTCCACTGCTGAACATAGGCCTCCCCCAAAGATTGGCCCCAAAACACGGTCCCGAGCCACCTGCATCCATCGACTTCCTGCATGTCTTACCAGGTCGTCACTTCATCTCGTGGGGGGACGCCCTACACTTCGCCTATCGGTACGAGGCCGCCACTCGAGAACCTTTCTTCCCCATCGGTTGTCAGTTCTTCGAGCTATATGGCCGGCCCACTGCCACTTCAGCTTACTAATCCGTTGGGCTATGTCGGTTACTCTGGTTCTACTGCGGATATCCTCATTCCTAAGTTTATCACGCAGAGAAACTCCGAGCATAGCCCTCTCCATAGCTCGCTGAGCGACCTTGAGCTTTCTCATACGGCCAGCAGTGAAGGACCACGTCTCAGTTCCGTAAGTCATCACTGGCTACACGCACTGGTTGTACAATTTCGTTTTAAGGTTTTGAGGTATGTCTGACGAGAAGATGTGTCGTAGCTTCCCGAACGCTGCCCAGCCGAGTTGAATCCGTCGATTGACCTCTCGGTCGAAGTTGGACTTACCTAGTCGGACTATTTGTCCCAGGTAAACATACTCGTCAACAACTTCGAGCTTAGTGTTCCCAACAACTACCGGCATAGGTGTGACATGGACATTAAACATGATCTTTGTTTTGTCCATGTTCATCTTAAGACCTATCCGTTGGGAAACACTATTGAGGTCATTGAGCATAGTGCTTAGGTCCTCCAGCGATTCTGCCATAAGGACTATATCGTCGGCAAATCGAAGGTGAGTGATGTACTCGCCATTGATGTTGATACCGTAACCTTTCCAGTCCAGAAGCTTGAAAACGTCTTCCAATGCAGCGGTGAAGAGTTTCGGAGATATGACGTCAACCTGTCTTACACCTCTCTGCAATTGGATAGGTTTCGTACTCTGGTTCTGTACTCGGATAGCCATCGTAGCCTTACTGTACAAGCACTTCAACACTTCGATATACCGACAGTCAACTTGGCACCGCTGAAGGGACTGCAGCACCGCCCAAATTTCGACGGAATCAAAGGCTTTCTCATAGTCCACATACGCCAGACATAGTGGCAAATGGTACTCTTCGGACTTCTGTACAATTTGCCGAAGGGTATGTATGTGGTCTATGGTGCTAAAGCCCTTTCGGAAACCGGCTTGTTCGGGAGGCTGGAAGTCGTCAAGTCTGCGCGCGAGACGATTCGTAATGACTCTCGAAATCGGTCTGTAGTTCTTCAAGAGAGCGTTGTCACCTTTCTTGAAGAACAAGACCACCGCACTTCTGCTCCACGCCTCCGGTGTAATGCCACCATGGAGGACGGAATTAAAGAGCTTCTGAAGGACTTCAAGTACCGGTATTCCACCCGCTTTCAGAAGCTCCGCTGTAATTCCATCCTCGCCTGGGGCCTTACTGTTTTTAAGGTGCTGGAGAGCCATTCTAATCTCGCTCAGACTGACGTCCGGGATATCTTCGGAATAGTGTTGGATGAGACTCGCTCATAGAACCTCTCAATCCCACTCAAAATCTCAGGTGTCCCGGAAACGATGCTGCCACATTCTGTCTTCAGCTTTAACAGTTGGCTCTTTCTGGCAGACAGATCTCTGGCAAAGACTTTGGAGCCTTGGTTCCGTTCGATCGCTTCTTCAATACGAGCTGTATTGAAGTTGCGTAAGTCCCGCCGCATGCATTTGGAGATCTGTCTGTTCGGATGCCTGTATGCTGTCAAGTCTGTTGAAGAATGTAGCTTCATCTCCCGTCTAACAGCCATGAGATTAAGAGTGTGATCGGAGAGTTTTTGTGTTCTTCTGCGGCGGGTCTTGCAGAACTTAGCTCCGACCGCATGGACAGTTTCCACGAGCTTGTCATTTATATCGTCCACTTCATTGCAGTCTTCTAGGCACTGAAAACGGTTTTGTAACTCGAGCTGAAAGGTTTCGGGACTTTGGAACAAAGCACGAGGAGGACGGAGCGTTGACTTCATTAGACGAGACCTCTCCAACTTAACGTTTAGGTTCAGTGTGCCTCTAACCATTCGGTGATCGCTACCAGTTTTCACCCTCGCGATCACGGAGACATCACTGAACAGTTGTCGTCTGGTCGTCATAATGAAGTCAATCTCATTTTTTGTCGAACCGTCGGGGCTCGACCAGGTCCACTTCCTGTGGGGCCGCTTCTGGAAGAAAGAGTTCATCATAAAGAGTCCCTCTTTCTCCATGAAGTCGGCCAGCTGCTGGCCCCTTGGGGCTGCCCTATTCCAAATTTCCCTACTTTCAGCTCACCGTTCTCTCTTGTGCCTAGTTTTGCATTGAAGTCTCCCATTAACACCGTATATTGGGTTTTGGAGGAATGCATGGCTCTAGAGATATCCTCATACATTTCCTCCACTTCCTCATCGGGGTGTGCCGAGGTTGGGGCGTAAACCTGTATGACCTTCAGCGAATACCGTTTGGTGATTCTGAGTATAAGGTACGCAACCCTCGTCGACACACTCCCGATCTTTACAACGTTGTTAACGAGAGACTTGTGGACGATAAATCCGACACCTCCTTGGGACAGATGGTCGCCCTCCCGGTGATAGAGCAAGTTGCCGGATTCGAGGATTACCGTGTCCTCCCCCTCTCTTCGGACTTCGGATAATCCTATAATATGCCAGCGCAACTTGTCTATCTCTTCTTCCAGCTCCACAATCTTCTCGTCAGTCCTCAGGGTGCGTGCGTTATACGTTGCCAGGTCGAGTCGTCTAAGGTGGCAACCGAACCTCCACCGGAGATTCTTAGCACCCCCTGCCCCGCCGTTACCATGGTCGCCACCGTAGCCAGGAATAGCGGGGCCGCCGGGGACTGGGGGCCGTTTCTTTGTTACTGTCATTCATAGGGGGGTATTTGCCATAGTTGCCACGCTTGGCGAGCGGGTTGGCAACCGCAGTTTTTTTTTTATTGTTAGTTTGTTGTTATCAAGAAGATGCTGTTGCCCATCTCCTGCCTGTTTCCCTTTGTCGCCTTTTACGACACCCACTGGAGGATATGGGGTAGTGGATATTCTTGACCGCCACTACACGGCACGGCATGTTTACGTCATACCAGATTCTTTTACAACCTGTTGATGGTGAGAGTAATAAAGTTGTTCTAGAGTATAATATCTATCCCAGTGAGCAGATACTATTAAGATCCACACAGCTAAAAAAATGTATTAGACAAGAAGGCCTGGCCACAGGACAAGCATATTTTAACGGAACAATTTTTTTTATAATTGTGAACAACAGAAAATATATAAATAATTCGAAAATTATATACAAGAAAAATGATATAATTTATTGAACTTATACCTTTTGTGGAGGTCTCATTTCATAAGATTGTGGATACGCGTTGGCGTACGGTTCACTTCGTCGCCCACTTGGCCCTGGGGGTGCAGAAGCTATAATAGAACAGAAGAAATAGTAAAAATCATAATCTTATTCCAACTTATATATGTGTAATAGCATATATACCAATTATTATATTTAGAACGTTATTGTGTATTTTTGATAAAGTACATGTAAGGTAAGGTGTGCCTAGTTTTCCGTCTATGCTTACAAGGTAAAAAAATTGACAAAGTGCGTGTCGAGCCACGTACAATGTAGAGGTAGGGTTGCACGTGTCTCACCGAGGTCCCTGTGCGCGTAGGCGAGCGGCGGCGCGTATCCCTTGTGCGTGCGTGTGCGTGTGTAGGTGTGCAGGTGTGCGTGTCTCACCGAGGTCCCTGTGCGCGTAGGCGAGCGGCGGCGCGTATCCCTTGTGCGTGCGTGTGCGTGTGTAGGTGTGCAGGTGTGCGTGTCTCACCGAGGTCCCTGTGCGCGTAGGCGAGCGGCGGCGCGTATCCCTTGTGCGTGCGTGTGCGTGTGTAGATGTGCAGGTGTGCGTGTCTCACCGAGGTCCCTGTGCGCGTAGGCGAGCGGCGGCGCGTATCCCTTGTGCGTGCGTGTGCGTGTGTAGGTGTGCAGGTGTGCGTGTCTCACCGAGGTCCCTGTGCGCGTAGGCGAGCGGCGGCGCGTATCCCTTGTGCGTGCGTGTGCGTGTGTAGGTGTGCAGGTGTGCGTGTCTCACCGAGGTCCCTGTGCGCGTAGGCGAGCGGCGGCGCGTATCCCTTGTGCGTGCGTGTGCGTGTGTAGGTGTGCAGGTGTGCGTGTCTCACCGAGGTCCCTGTGCGCGTAGGCGAGCGGCGGCGCGTATCCCTTGTGCGTGCGTGTGCGTGTGTAGGTGTGCAGGTGTGCGTGTCTCACCGAGGTCCCTGTGCGCGTAGGCGAGCGGCGGCGCGTATCCCTTGTGCGTGCGTGTGCGTGTGTAGGTGTGCAGGTGTGCGTGTCTCACCGAGGTCCCTGTGCGCGTAGGCGAGCGGCGGCGCGTATCCCTTGTGCGTGCGTGTGCGTGTGTAGGTGTGCAGGTGTGCGTGTCTCACCGAGGTCCCTGTGCGCGTAGGCGAGCGGCGGCGCGTATCCCTTGTGCGTGCGTGTGCGTGTGTAGGTGTGCAGGTGTGCGTGTCTCACCGAGGTCCCTGTGCGCGTAGGCGAGCGGCGGCGCGTATCCCTTGTGCGTGCGTGTGCGTGTGTAGGTGTGCAGGTGTGCGTGTCTCACCGAGGTCCCTGTGCGCGTAGGCGAGCGGCGGCGCGTATCCCTTGTGCGTGCGTGTGCGTGTGTAGGTGTGCAGGTGTGCGTGTCTCACCGAGGTCCTTGTGCGCGTAGGCGAGCGGCGGCGCGTATCCCTTGTGCGTGCGTGTGCGTGTGTAGGTGTGCAGGTGTGCGTGTCTCACCGAGGTCCCTGTGCGCGTAGGCGAGCGGCGGCGCGTATCCCTTGTGCGTGCGTGTGCGTGTGTAGGTGTGCAGGTGTGCGTGTCTCACCGAGGTCCCTGTGCGCGTAGGCGAGCGGCGGCGCGTATCCCTTGTGCGTGCGTGTGCGTGTGTAGGTGTGCAGGTGTGCGTGTCTCACCGAGGTCCCTGTGCGCGTAGGCGAGCGGCGGCGCGTATCCCTTGTGCGTGCGTGTGCGTGTGTAGGTGTGCAGGTGTGCGTGTCTCACCGAGGTCCCTGTGCGCGTAGGCGAGCGGCGGCGCGTATCCCTTGTGCGTGCGTGTGCGTGTGTAGGTGTGCAGGTGTGCGTGTCTCACCGAGGTCCCTGTGCGCGTAGGCGAGCGGCGGCGCGTATCCCTTGTGCGTGCGTGTGCGTGTGTAGGTGTGCAGGTGTGCGTGTCTCACCGAGGTCCCTGTGCGCGTAGGCGAGCGGCGGCGCGTATCCCTTGTGCGTGCGTGTGCGTGTGTAGGTGTGCAGGTGTGCGTGTCTCACCGAGGTCCCTGTGCGCGTAGGCGAGCGGCGGCGCGTATCCCTTGTGCGTGCGTGTGCGTGTGTAGGTGTGCAGGTGTGCGTGTCTCACCGAGGTCCCTGTGCGCGTAGGCGAGCGGCGGCGCGTATCCCTTGTGCGTGCGTGTGCGTGTGTAGGTGTGCAGGTGTGCGTGTCTCACCGAGGTCCCTGTGCGCGTAGGCGAGCGGCGGCGCGTATCCCTTGTGCGTGCGTGTGCGTGTGTAGGTGTGCAGGTGTGCGTGTCTCACCGAGGTCCCTGTGCGCGTAGGCGAGCGGCGGCGCGTATCCCTTGTGCGTGCGTGTGCGTGTGTAGGTGTGCAGGTGTGCGTGTCTCACCGAGGTCCCTGTGCGCGTAGGCGAGCGGCGGCGCGTATCCCTTGTGCGTGCGTGTGCGTGTGTAGGTGTGCAGGTGTGCGTGTCTCACCGAGGTCCCTGTGCGCGTAGGCGAGCGGCGGCGCGTATCCCTTGTGCGTGCGTGTGCGTGTGTAGGTGTGCAGGTGTGCGTGTCTCACCGAGGTCCCTGTGCGCGTAGGCGAGCGGCGGCGCGTATCCCTTGTGCGTGCGTGTGCGTGTGTAGGTGTGCAGGTGTGCGTGTCTCACCGAGGTCCCTGTGCGCGTAGGCGAGCGGCGGCGCGTATCCCTTGTGCGTGCGTGTGCGTGTGTAGGTGTGCAGGTGTGCGTGTCTCACCGAGGTCCCTGTGCGCGTAGGCGAGCGGCGGCGCGTATCCCTTGTGCGTGCGTGTGCGTGTGTAGGTGTGCAGGTGTGCGTGTCTCACCGAGGTCCCTGTGCGCGTAGGCGAGCGGCGGCGCGTATCCCTTGTGCGTGCGTGTGCGTGTGTAGGTGTGCAGGTGTGCGTGTCTCACCGAGGTCCCTGTGCGCGTAGGCGAGCGGCGGCGCGTATCCCTTGTGCGTGCGTGTGCGTGTGTAGGTGTGCAGGTGTGCGTGTCTCACCGAGGTCCCTGTGCGCGTAGGCGAGCGGCGGCGCGTATCCCTTGTGCGTGCGTGTGCGTGTGTAGGTGTGCAGGTGTGCGTGTCTCACCGAGGTCCCTGTGCGCGTAGGCGAGCGGCGGCGCGTATCCCTTGTGCGTGCGTGTGCGTGTGTAGGTGTGCAGGTGTGCGTGTCTCACCGAGGTCCCTGTGCGCGTAGGCGAGCGGCGGCGCGTATCCCTTGTGCGTGCGTGTGCGTGTGTAGGTGTGCAGGTGTGCGTGTCTCACCGAGGTCCCTGTGCGCGTAGGCGAGCGGCGGCGCGTATCCCTTGTGCGTGCGTGTGCGTGTGTAGGTGTGCAGGTGTGCGTGTCTCACCGAGGTCCCTGTGCGCGTAGGCGAGCGGCGGCGCGTATCCCTTGTGCGTGCGTGTGCGTGTGTAGGTGTGCAGGTGTGCGTGTCTCACCGAGGTCCCTGTGCGCGTAGGCGAGCGGCGGCGCGTATCCCTTGTGCGTGCGTGTGCGTGTGTAGGTGTGCAGGTGTGCGTGTCTCACCGAGGTCCCTGTGCGCGTAGGCGAGCGGCGGCGCGTATCCCTTGTGCGTGCGTGTGCGTGTGTAGGTGTGCAGGTGTGCGTGTCTCACCGAGGTCCCTGTGCGCGTAGGCGAGCGGCGGCGCGTATCCCTTGTGCGTGCGTGTGCGTGTGTAGGTGTGCAGGTGTGCGTGTCTCACCGAGGTCCCTGTGCGCGTAGGCGAGCGGCGGCGCGTATCCCTTGTGCGTGCGCGCGCGGCGGTGTCCGGGCCGCGGCGGCGCGCGCGCGTCGCGTCGCGCCTCGCCCGGCGCGCGCATGCGACGCAGCGTGTTCATCGGCCGCCGCAGCGTCTCGGATAGTCGCCTGCGAGACAATTATTTTTTATTTTAATGAGAGCATAAAAACAGACATCCGCAACTTTTCCTGCCACCAGGGCGGCTCCACTTAGGAATGAGATGATATATTTCATAGCAGAAGTTTATTTGTTACAAAACTACAAAAATCAATATTTCTTTTTGAAATATTACTTCCGTTTTGTATGAATTTTCAGTAGTTGTATTCAACTTCATATTGATGGCTTATATATTAGACGTGTTGTGTCGCTGTGGTTTTGCTAACTTAATTTTGTTCAAAGAAATTAATTTACTATCCTATATGTGTAAAGATTATAAGAAATCGCGAAATAAATAAATAGCACGAGTCATTAATGCTTTAACTCTCCAGACAAAAGCGAAATAACTTATTGCAATTATAAGAGTATGTGTGCACCTGGCGGGCGGTCGCTTCGGGTTGGACGAGGGCGTGTGCACGGCGCAGCACTTGACGAAGGCGCCCATGCAGACGACGAGCGCGACGCCGCCCAGCAGCACGGCCCACCACTGTTCCGTGACCCAGGCCTGCACGGTCTGCAGCGTGGCGCGGTTCAGCAGCAGGTTCTTCAGCCGAGCCAGCGGACCCTCCGCATCAACCGCGCGGCACTTCAGGAACACGTCACAGTACCCCTGCCCACGGTCAATATTTTTATTAACATCTAATCTAGCACATGCAAAGTATACCACGTATTCATATAATATATTACCCTTTTTTTGTAACTATTATTTTCTAGAGTAATGGTTCTTAGCAATTTAATGATGAGGGACCATTTGACCGATTTCTTTTCTTGACATGGACCACCATAATTTAGACAATATTTAATTGCCGGACGGCAGGCCGACGCGCGCTGTGAAGGCCGCCGTGCTGCGGCAGGTGGCGGGCTCGGCGCCGCTCTGGCACACCAGCTGGCACAGCGTGCGCCGGTCCGCCGCCACCGAGCTCGACCCAATGTACTAAGGCTACAGAGGTCTGTAAGGGGACTGACCTGGAAATTGTCGCAGGGCGAGCCGGGGCGCAGGCTGATGCCGCCGGGCGGCAGGCCGACGCGCGCCGCGAAGGCCGCCGTGCTGCGGCAGGTGGTGGGCTCGTTGCCGCTCTGGCACGCCAGCTGGCACAGCGCGCGCCGGTCAGCTACCGCCGTCACGCCGTCGCCCGCCGCCGCCGGGCTCGACGACAGGAAGCACTCCGTCATGTTCCACGCCAGGCAGATCGAGCCGCGGCACTCACCGCTGATGCACAGCTGCGTGTCTGCGCGACACACACAACCAATACTTACACAACTAGCTCTATAACAAAATATCAATAAATAATGCTTATCTTTATGTGTAAAAAATTCATGTCACATTGTTTGCCTCGATGTCACAAAAAAATTTAGGGTCACATTGTTTGTAATACTGAACTTGTTTCAATTAAATTTTGAACTGTGAGCAGTTTGGGCCAACTTGAGAACGTGGAAAGTTTTATCTCGAAAAGTGAGCCAATATTATTAATCTTATTTATTTTTTTCAAATTTGTATAGGACAGAGGGTCGCCGCAAAGGGCAGAACAACGTCTGCCTGGCCAGCTAGTATTATGTATTAAAATCTTAAACAAGTTTACACCTGCCACAATAGCTACAGGCTATTCTGGGCTACGGGCTACGGGTTGCCTGGCAGAGAATGTCGACAGGCATTAAGTCTGTCCATTGTTACATTAGTTATAAGGTCTTACAATAAAATATATAAATAAATAACTAACTGTGCACACGTTTTTGGGCAAGAACTTGACAGCCGGTGGATTGTCGCTCCTATTTCATCGTTTAAGTAATGGTTTAAAGTAGATTTTGATACGTAAAAGTCATGTGATTTTTGTGTATTAAGTGTTTGCGCATGTGAATCATTATACTCAACAAAATCTAAGAAATACCTTTTGATGTTTCACATTCTGCAATAACTTTGTAAAGCGTGTGAGTACGATTTAAAATAACCTTTTTAATAAAGTTGCTCAAAAAGTGGCGTATGGCAGGGACTTATGGCGTTCGGGATGTGGGCTATTACATACTCGTGCTTTTTCTTTACCTTTTCCGAACTTTTTTTTTTTTTATAGAAGAGGGGGCATCGGCTCACCTGATGGTAAGTGACTACCGCCACCCATGAACAACCGCAACACCAGGGGAATTGCAGATGCGTTGAGGGCCTTTTAGAAAGGTGTAAGCTCTTTTCTTGAAGGTTCCTAGGTCGTATCGGTCCGGAAAATTGGCTGGTGGTAATTGATTCCACAAGGGAGTTGTGCGAGGGAGAAAACTTCTTCTAAATCGCACAGTGGTGGACCGCCAATCATCCAGATGGTATGGATGGTAACGCGAGTTTTGTCGCGATGTGCGATGGTGAAATTGAGCGGCTGGAATTAGTCCGAACAATTCCTCAGAGCACTCCCCGTGATAGATGCGATAAAATACGCAAAGAGATGCAACATCTCTACGCAGTGCCAGTGTATCGAGCCGATCAGAAAGAACACGGTCGTCGACGATTCGAACCGCTCTGCGCTGGATGCGGTCAAGTGGAAGGAGCTGGCACTGGGGTGCCCCGGCCCAGAGATGAGAACAGTATTCCATGTGGGGCCGAACTTGCGCTTTGTAAAGTTGCAAGCGATGTGCCGGCATGAAATACTGTCCCGCTCTGCTAAGCACGCCAAGCTTTTTAGAGGCCAATTTGGCCTTTCCTTCTAAGTGACCACGGAACTGCACAATATTCGATATGTCGACGCCGAGGATTCCGATGCTAGCTGAGGCAGCAAGGGGAGTGCCTTTGAAACTGAGGAGATACGACAAGGGGTTCTTTTTAGCAGTAAACGCGCAAACTTGTCTCTTCTGGGGATTGAACTGGACTAGATTTAGTCGGCCCCAATCCGAGACTTTGTTAAGCAAAGACTCGACTTCAGACACAAGTTTGTCCCGGTACTCATCGACATTTTCCCGAGAAATATTGGCACGGCCGGTGTATAAGGCATCACCAGTGCTGTCGTCTGCATAGCAATGAATGTTACCAATTAGCAACATATCATTAATATGCAGGAGAAACAGCGTTGGTGATAGCACGCTGCCTTGTGGAACACCAGCGTTGATAGGCTTGAAATCAGAGCATGCACCGTCTACTACGACCTTGATGCTCCGATCAGCAAGGAAACTGGTGATCCATTTGCACAATTTCTCGGGAAGCCCATAGGAAGGAAGCTTCGAAAGAAGCGCTTTGTGCCAGACCCGATCGAAGGCCTTCGCTATGTCCAAACTAGCGGCCAATGCCTCCCCCTTGGACTCTACTGCCTCCGCCCATCTATGAGTCAGATAGACTAGAAGATCACCAGGTGATCTACCTCGACGAAAACCGTACTGGCGGTCACTAATCAGCTGGTGATCCTCAAGGTACCTCATGAGCTGGCAGTTTATAATGGATTCCATTATTTTGGAGAACAAGGAGGTGATGGCATTAGGCCTGTAGTTGGCGGGTCTGAGCGGTCGCCTTTTTTAGGGATCGGGTGGACCAAAGCTGTCTACCATGAATTCGGGACTACGCCTTGGGAGTAGGAGTATCGGAAAAGACGCGTTAAAACCGGTGCCAACTCCGGAGCACACGTCTTCAGCACAATGGGAGGGACTCCATCGGGCCCACTCGACTTGCTGACGTCCAGGAAGAAGAGTGTTTTGCGAACCGAGCGCTGTGTAAACCGCACATCCGGCATGGAGCACTCACATAGCGGGATGGTCGGCGGTGTGTTCCCCCCGTCATCTAGAGTCGAGTTGGACGCAAAAAGAGAGCTCAACAGATCGGCTTTCTCCTTTGCGGCATGGGCCGGTGAGTCGTCCTCCCTGTGCAGAGATGGAAGAGATGGTTGACAGAAGTTCCCTTGGACAGCCTTGGCGAGAGACCAGAATGCACGGGTTCCCGAAGGAAGACGAACTAGTTTCTCGCCAATTCTGCCGATGTGCTCAGACCTTGCCTTGGCAATGACGCTTTTGAAGGACCTGGAGGCGGAATTATACTTCTTTTTAAGTGAACTCGTGCGTTCTCTTTCCCAACTGTCAAAATAATGTCTATTAAAAAGAAAAAACCAACCACGAAGTTTTTACTAAAAAAAAAATTCATAGAAGTTTTTATGATTCATGCAAATATTTCTAAAAAGAAGCTACTAATTTGTTTCAATATCAGATTTAATGATTTGATTCAATGAGTTAGGTTAGGTTTCAGTTCATTTCATCTCATTAAATTTAATTTTCATTTCATGTCAATAAAAAATTGTACTGAAGACTTGGCTGTATGGGCATAGTTCCCTTTGCCTACCCAAAAGGGTGAAGAAAACAAAAAAAAACTCTGCTTATATTCTTTTACGTTTGGCGCCATTTTCCAAAAATGTTCTTTATTAAATTGCTTTATTTTTTTGCAACTGTATTAAAAATAGTGGTTCAGTACACGTGCGGAACCGTCATTGCAACTTGTTCCGACTGTCAACTCTCACCTTCGGCTGCGCCTCGGCTCGGGTAGACATTTGTCGGAACTCTTTGTAATGACAGGCTTTCCGCACTCGTAATGAAATATACTATATATTTAAATCCACAGAAACAGAAACAGAAACTTTTTTATTCAATATAGATTATAAATAATACTTATTGAAAGTCACTCTTTTGTTTAATTACCACTGATTCGAAAAAAAACCTCTCCTGGGAAGAACCAGCAAGAAAAGCGCGACTTTTTTTTTAAATGACAGCTTACAATCATGTATGTTAGTATGTTACACAAATTAACAACACAACAAATATTTTTGTGTACGTACATTACATTTTCATAAATGTATTGAGATGCCAAAGTTAATATATTAATTTCCTTAAATTTTTGTCGCAGCGACTCTTTAGGCTTTAAATCATAAATTGCTCTTATGGCCCTCTTCTGTAAAACAAATATAATTTCAGTGTCAGCTGTGTGTCCCCATAGTAAAATACCATACGACATTATGCTATGGAAATAGCTAAAGTAAACTAGTCTAGTTGTTTCAACACTATATTTCATTACAACATGTATAGTTCCAAAAAAAAAAAAATAACCAGATTCAACGTTTTATGCTTGACGTTGTTTGAATGATATGTCGATAAGCACCTTACCATAGTATTTGGATGATTCAAATTCATGGTAATACTCGATTGAATTAATGATGAATCGGTAAAAATATTCAAACCAACTTAAAAAAATTTAATTTATTATTTGTTTATTTTAAATTTGCATAAATGATATAAATCATGAATTAAACAAGTCTATTCTTTATATTTTTATATTTACTTTGAATTTGATATATTAATTTTAGTAATTAAAATGTTAATATTATAAAAGGTCGGGAAAAAAGTTACTTCGCATTTTATATACAAATTCAAGACGTATTTTTTTTTCAAAGTTTTATTACATTTAATTATAATATATATGTGCCATTTTGCTCGATAACTTGTTGCCATCTTGTAGGTAGTGCCATAATCCCGTTGCTGTAGAAATCTTGGGATTTTTGATCAAAAAAATGCGACAAGTAGTTTGACAGTCCTCTCTTGATGTTAACGTAACACTACCCGAAGATTTCTAAGAACAGGTGAAAATCTGAGGGTGCAAAGTCAGGACTATATGGTGGATGCATTATCACTTCCCAACCAAGCTCTCTCAATTTTTGGTGAGTGGCTAAAGATGTGTGTGCCATGATGAAATACCACTTCTTTTCTGTTGATCAATTCAAGCCGTTTTTCTCAATATCTTGCTAATGTCTCATTAGTTGTTGGCAGTAGAGATCCGAATCGATGGTTTTCTCCAGCGATAAAAGCTCATAATAAACGATGCCCTTCCAATCAGTTCTAGTTCAAACTTCGCACCTCTACTACCCTTTGACCATGACCGTTTTCGCACATTCTTGACGTAGGTGATCCAGATATGATCACCAGTGATCAATCTTTTCAAAAATGGTTCGGTTTCATTATGTTTCAATAGAGAATCGCAAACGAGTTCACGATTCATTCAGGTTTCTTTCAGTGAACTTGTGTGGTACCCAAATATCGAGTTTTTTTAAATAACCAGACTTTTTCAAATGGGTTAAAACTGATTTGTAGTCAATCCTCAATTTCAATCAATCACAATAAAAAATATTGTATCTCAAAATCTAAAATAAGTTTTTAATTATAATCTAACTAGCGACCCGGCCGGGGCTTTGCCCGCGTAATCAGCATAATTAACATAATTTACACAATATTTTATGAATTACAGCCTATGTGTTATTCTAATGTATGAGGTACATAATCGTAAAGTTTCATTAAAATGCATTTAGTAGTTTTTGCTTGAAAGAGTAACAAACATCCATACATCCTCACAAACTGTCACGTTTATAATATTAATAGGAAGTAGGATGCTTTAAAAACACGTATACACATGAATTAAAAAAATCAACGTGAAAGCTGAGCTACTACTATACGCGGTCGGAACTAAATGTTCTTTAAAAGTAGTGAACAAATGTTGTTGGCACTGACCGTTATTGCACTTGGTGTGGTTGGCCATGGGGCGGGGCCGGGGGCACTCGGCGGAGCGGCCCGAGCAGAAGGAGGCGTGGCTGCACTCGGTGGCCTCGCGGCACGTCTGGTTGCGCGCCGCGCTCACGAACTGGCACGACTCCGACTGGCAGCACGGGCCCTGCGACGGGCTGCAACACCAACACTGCCGTCACCTCCCATCCACTCAAGAGGTGCACAAGTACAAGTACAAGGACCGAACAGAATTTACACACTGCAGCTATATTATATCTGCACCATGTATTGGTCGGCTCGGTCGCGCAACACCACACCCTCATAGAATAATTACAACTGTGTTTCGTATAGTAGTGAGTATAGAGAACCGACCCATTTTACTGGTAACGAGGCACTCCACCTTAGTCCTTGGGGGTGACAACGCATCTACATATTGCATGCCTTAAGCGCAAAGTGCGTAGGTATGTTCTACTAGCGCCTAAAAAACAAGATTCCAACGTTTTGTCGCGTAAAATCGTATCTAACAATCATATTGAACATATAAATGATATAAAAAGTACATTGTCCGAAAGATAAATGATTGTTGAAGTTATTAATATTTTTTTAAATCGATTAATTGCTATTTTTACATAAAAAAGTGGTTTTAGTAGCTTATGGTGTAGATTTATCAAGTCCGCATGGAGTGGTAAACACGATAACTTTTGAAATATATCAATTGTTTATTTCAATCTATTTTTTAATCTCTTCATCTATCATGTGGGAAGCCATGGAATGTAAATGGCAGTTTAATTTTCTTTTGTTTAGTTATAATAACTTTTTTCGGCTGCGAAATGTTGAAATTTTCAGTGTTTTAGCAACCTTGTATTAATTTATTTTACTAAATAGACTGCCTCACTCACTCACTTCGGCGTTAACCGCCGTTGTGAATGGATACTGTATCGATTGTTTGCAGCGGCTCAAAAAGGTCGCTCTACAAATATAAAATATTCGAAAAACTAAATTTCATACATACTTAATTATATATACATAAATTTTTATCGCAATATTTTAAAAGCACAGAATAAATAATAGTAGTACGTACTAAAAGTAAGTAGGATGTATATATAGGTATTTATACTTAAATACGTCTTGGACTTTATGGAGTGACGTGAATGATGATCATATGAGCATTATGAGTCGTGCACTTTTGGCTTTTCCAAACTTTATTTAAATTGATGTTTGAGATAAAATTATTGGAAAATTGGAAGTATAATAAAGTTATTGGTGAAAACTTGTGTGTTACTTTTAAAAAATTCCGTATAATCATGTAATACGTAATATTTAATGCGTTTAGGACATGCACAATTGGATTTACCAATAGTTTATTTTGTTTCTTAATTAACCATTTCATGCTACAATATATTACACACATAAATAACATGGATTTGTGTCTACTTGTTGGTCAGGCTTCAACTTAAAAATTTCCTAAGTTAACAATAACCGTACTTTCTTAATTGTTACGTAATTGTTTTTATTTAAATAAATGTAAATTGGTTCACAAATAATTTACCTGCACTGAGTATTAGCTTTCCGAGTGCATCCCTTAGCGGTGCTGTTCCTCTCTCTGTCGAATGAGCTTAGTTGCCGCGGGTAGCAGCAGTGATCTTTGCATTCGTTCTCGTCGTAACCTAATTATGAAATATAATAAAATAAATATAAAAACTAAATTACTTTTAATAGTTAAATGATCAATTTTATTTGGCCACCATCATAATAATTATCATCCTCATCATCAACATCATCATCATTACAACCAAAGAATGCAACATAACACGGTCTCGAACCACATGCATTTATCGACTCCCTGCATATCTTATTAGCTCATCACTCCATCAAGTGGGACCGCCTTCCCATTCACTCACCGGTACGAGGCTGCCACTAGAGAACCTTTGTTTCCCATCGGTTGTCGATTCTTAGAGTTTATGGCCAGCTCATTGCCACTTCAGCTTGCTGATTGAGTTGAGCCTGTCGTTGAGCTATGTCGATTACTAGGATTCTACTGCTCATTATGAAGTTTATCACCAAAGAAAATCCACACATGGATTTCGCCATAGCTCACTGAGTGACTTTAAGTTTCTTCATACGGCCACAGCAGTAAAGGACGATATCTCCAATCCATATGTCATCAACAGCAACGTGTTCTTAAAATAGTATAATAAAACTGGTCAAGTATGTTTACCCCAAACGGTGAAAAGTCAAAAAATATTGTACTCCTAGTTTACGCATAGGAAAACTACCTATAAATACATAATCGTCACAATATCGTGGTGTCGTGGTGGTATAGGGGTTGTTGAGGTTTTATGTTTGTTGTGTTGCGCGGGTTCATATTCACATCACGTCAGTTGGTTACCACTTAAGTCGTGGAAGAAAAGAGGATATTTCCCACTTTGCAATGTCAGGCCGAGGAGCGGCTCATGTGGTAAGTACAGAACTATACCAGCTTAACGGTGGTAGAGCCACGGGGCAGCTTTTGCTGTTGCACGTATGGCCCGGCCGGGTTGGTACCACGACCTCACAGAATACCGGCGTAAAGTGGAAGCCTATTAACGCCGGTGTTCCATAAGGCTGCGTATTATCATCAAGGCTAATTCTTCTGCATATCAATGATATGTTGCAAGCCGGTAACATTCATTGCTATGCGGATGACAGCACTTGTGATGCTCTATACACCGGTCGTGTCAATATTTCTCGGGAAAACATCGCCGAGTACCGGAACAAACTTGTGTCTGAAGTCGAGTCTTTGCTGGAAAAAGTCTCAGATTGGGGGCGACTAAATCTAGTCCAGTTTAATCCTCAGCAGACAAAAGTATGCGCGTTTACCGCTAAAAAGAACACCTTTGTCGTATCTCCTCAGTTTCAAGACATTCCTCTTGTTGCCTTAATCGGTATCGGAATCCTCGGCGTCGACATATCGAGTGACGTGCAGTTTTTTGGTCACTTGGAAAAGAAGGCCAAATTGGCCCCTAAAAAGTTGGCGTGTTCAAGAGAGTGGGACAGTATTTCATGCCGGCACATCACCTGCATCTTTACAAGGGCAGGTTCGGCCTCACATGGAATACTGTTTCCATCTCTGGGCTGGGGCCAGCCAGTGCCAGCTTCTTCCACTTGATCGCATGCAGGGCAGAGCGGCTCGAATCGTCGGCGACCGAGTCCTTTCCGATCGGCTCGATTCTTTCTTTTGCTTTTCTTTTCTTTTTTTATAAAAACGTCACCCCCACACTAGGATTTTTTCCTGTGTCCTGGAGGCAGTTTACAAACATAAATTGCACAAGGATAAACATCCAGACCCGGAACAATTATTTGTAGGCCTTACAAATACTTGTTCCGTGAGGGATTCGAACCCGCGGCCCCCAGCGCAACAACTGATTGCTAAGCCACTGCGCCACGGAGCTGTCAATTCACTGGCGCTACGAAGAGATGTTGCATCCCTTTGCATTTTCTTCCGCATTTACCACTGAGAAATTGTTCGGATTAATCCCATCCGCCAAATTTCACGAACGCACATCGCGGCAAAACTCCCGATACCATCCACACCATCTGGATGCTTGGCGGTCCACCACTGTATGTTTCACGAGGAGTTTTCTTCCGCGTACGACCTCTGTGTGGAATAGCTTACCACCGGCGATTTTTCCGGACCGATACGACTTAGGGACCTTCAAGAAAAGAGCTTGCTCCTTTTAAAAAGGGCGCAAACGCACCTGCAATTTCCTTAGTTTTGCAGTTGTTCATGGGCGGCGGTAGTCACTTACCATCAGGTGAGCCGTATGTTCGTTTACCCCTATGAAACTATATTATACAACATGTAACAAAAACCCTGTGGTTCCCGTTAAGTACGTTATCAGGATCAGTATTCAAACCTATAGAAATAACATTTTTTTTTTAAAACTCAACCTAATTTTATTAAAAATATTATTTTAAATTTTATGTGGTTTTATTACCTCTTACTGACACTAGCCGATGCTAAAGCTAAGTAAAGCGGGGTCTTTGACAATCCTCTTACTCCCCAGACAATGCAGAGGTAATAAAACTACATACAATTTGCATACAATTATTTATTTTTAAATAAAATAAAAAATATATTGTTCGAGTTTTTAAAAAAAAGTTATTTTTATGCGTTTGAATAATAATCCTGATAACGTACTTAACGGGAATCACAGGGTTTTTGTTACATATTGTATATATAGCAGTACTTCGTAATTTGATAGCGTGGTTTAGGCTTCGGTGCGTTTCACTTGTGGCGCGACAACAACGCCGCCAAACGCATATCGAACGTTTTCGTACAGACCCAAGCGATAATTTGCAGTTGAAAGTTGGACGGTTGAGTAGTGTTAGAGTTATAGCATCAAATACTAGGAAGACGATCTTGTTTCTGTAGAAGCACCCACATTGCAGGATGTTGTATACGTGGTAGAGCCATGCTGCAGCTATATTAGTAGTATAGTTGTAGCACGAATGGGTCGGCTCGACCGGGGAAGGACCACGCTCTCACAGAATACCAGCGTAAAATAGCAGCTTAACGTTGCTGTGTTTCGTATGGTGAGTGTAGAGAACCGAAGACCCTTTTTACTGAAAATGAGGCATTCCATCTTAGTCCTCACGGGTGACAACGCATCTGCATTTTGATTTGTAATAGAGGTTAAATGTAGATGTCTATGGGCCGCAGCAACCACTTACCATCAGGTGGCCTGTGTGCTCGTTTGTCACCCTTATCCTATAAAAAAAAATGTTAATTTGGGTTAACGTCCGTTCATATGGCGTTCAACGTTACTAGTGTGTGAAAGGCTGGCGATAGATAAAAATGGTAGAGAGATAGGTACCGCAGTCGCATTCCTCGCCGGCCTCGACGATCTTGTTCCCGCAGAAGGCGCCCTCGCTGGCGCTGAGGCAGTTGCGCTTGCGGCCGTCGCGCACGGCGTCCAGCACGGCGCTGATGTTGCCCACCGAGCACGCGCTGAAGCGCCCGTTGTTGGGCCGGTCGCCCGACGTCGCCGACGCGAACATTATGTAGTTGCCCTGCTGCCCGCCCGGCCGGCACTCCGACGGGTAGTCGTGCTGCCAGTCACATACGTAACAAAGTTACACGGCTTCAGAGTATACAAATATGCGTGGCATTTATTGCAAATAACAAATAATATTTTTTACATATAATAAGGGCGACCAACGACCACACAGTCCACCCGATTACAAATGAATGCTGTGGCCCATAGATATCAACATTTATCCTCAATTAAGAATCAAAATGTAGATGCGTTGTTACCCCTGAGGACTAATATGGAGTGCCTTGTTTCCAGTAAAAAGGGTCTCCGATTCTTTCCACTCCCCATACGAAACACAGCAACATTAAGCTGCTATTTTATGTTGGTATTCAGTGAGAGATATTCCTACTCCGGTTGAGCCGACCCATTATACAGCTGAGTCAAGCTGAACAATAAATATATATAAAATGATTTCTTATATTTATTATGCCCAACTTAAACCTCCTTTAAATTTAAATTTTACTTTATTTTTATTATTTTTTGTTATAGCGACAACAGGAATTCATATTCTGTGAAAATTTCAACCGTCTACCTTTTACGGATCATGAGATACAGCCTGCTGACAGTCAGACGGACGGACAACGAAGGCTTAGTAATAGGGTTGGTTACCCTTTGGATACGAAACCCTAAAAATGATACAAAAACCATTCCCACAGAGATACAGAACAACACGTTCGTTTTTATGGCCTATTCCTGTTTATTAATTATCGTGCCTGGTACTCGTAGTCTCAGCGCAGTGTTAAGTGAGCCCCTTTCCTATAGACGAAGTGAAGACCTGATGTGTCCACATCCATCAGGATGCAAGTGGTTTAGGGCCGTCCTTTGTAACAATCTGGAGGGGAGGTTTAAATTCAACAGTGGATTTAAAATAGGCTGAGCTGATGATAGTGGTGATGATCAGTTTTTATGTACCGGTGATCCGAAGTTATGTCCAATTTCGTGCGCGAGGGTGAGCTGGCTGACTTTGGGGGGCACCCTGCTGTTGTAGTTCACAAACGTGATGATGCCGGTGTTGAGTGAGCGCTTCGTGCTCTGGTACATTCCGCCGTTTGTCTCCGTGTACGTTTTGTACTTCTCGCAAATTCCGCCCGACGCTCCGCTGGCACTTGCTACCCAGGCTAGACCTGTAATAAAAGAAAATTGTTTAGTAAAATAAAAAAGTAAGATCCCATATACCCTGATGATGCCGGCGAAACCGATCGGTTTTTATTAGTATAATAATAATAATTTAAAATAACTATTGTGCATCTAGTACAAGTGTTCATCCAAATCACGAAAATAAAGATGGAGTTTCACCAAGTGACAACAATCGCAAGTATAAATTACAAATTATAAAAAAAGTATTATTACAATTTACGAGGGAAGGTCAAACAGTTCGCGGAATGGCGGGGTTGGCGAGGGTGTTTACTCATCCAGGTAGGCGCTAGTTGAGTGACTCATTGTCAGTATATATACCAAGTTTCAACCTAATCGGGTCATTAGCTTTTGGGTTATCAACGAGTAAACAAATCAATCGGGAAGAAACTAGCCACTATAGAGAAAATTGAATATCGCGCCGTCATTAAGTCTCTCGCCGAACAAGGAAAGACACCTCTAACCATTTTTCAAGAGATATCAGCTGTTTATGGGAACTCTGCTCCTGGGAAAAACCATGATTTATAATTGGCACGCCCTTTTCAAAGAAGGGAGGGACTCCATTGAAGACGACCCCCGAACTGGTCGGCCGATTGAGGCTACCACGCCAGAAATAATCGAAAAAGATGAAAAACTTGTATCGTAAGATGTCCGGTTAAAGACAAAACAGCTTGCAACATTAGTTAACAGTATCAGAAACAATCATTTTAAACATCCTACATCAACACCTTGGCATGACTAAAGTCTGTGCAAGATGGCTTTCTGCGCATCAAAAACACGAGTGCCTCGAAAATTGTCGACAGTTTTTGGACCACTGTGGAGAGTTAAGTTATGGCCCGAATTGTAACTGGCGATGAAACTTGGGTTCACCATTATGAACCTAAGTCAAAGCAAGAGTCGATGCAGTGGCATAAAAAGGCACACCCCCTCCTAAGAGGTATAGGGGGTCTCAATCGGCCGGAAAGATAGCGACGATCTTTTGGGATACAGGAGGTATCCTTTTGATCCATTATAAGGAACGTGGTGTTTCCATAACGGGAGAATACTACGCTTCTTTACTGGATCAATTAAAAGAAGCTATTAAAGAAAAAAGTCGAGGAAAGCTTACAAAAGGCTTGTTCCTTTTGCACGACAATACGCCCGTAGACACAAGCCATGTTACGATGGCTGCCATTCACCTGTGCGGTTTTGAACAAGTGCGCCACCCACCTTACAGCCTGGCCTGGCCTGGCGCCAAGCGACTATTATTTGTTTCCAAAAATCCTCCCCTCGTATATATACGTCCAACTATTGGGCACAGGCTTGCTCTCACTTTTCGAGAGAGTTTTAGGGCAAGGTCCAAGGAAGTGTCCACCACAGTGCCCCAATGCGTGTTGGCGAACTTCACGTGTTTTCGAAAATAATATATATTTTTTCTAATTTCTCAGACATTCAGGTTTACTCACGATGTTTTCCATCACAGCGTGGTATATCTACACTTAAAATAGCAATTAACAATTTTATTGGTGCCGGCGGGGTTTGAACAAAAGTTGGTCGCGTACTGCGAAATATACGGCGAGCACTTTGCCCCTGTGCTACAACAGCTCATCCAGAGCTATCATTATATAATATAGTTCGATATAATATTTTTTAATGTTATACACTGTCGAACAGAAATAACACAATAGAACAGAAAATATATAATAAATATTGTTGATATAGAAGTAATTTTTATATTTGCTACTCGTTCGGAAAAACTTTTGTCCTAAGAACAACAAGCGTGGCAGAGCCACGCTGCAACTGCAGCTGCAGGACGAATCGGTCGACTCGAACACAGAACATTATAGTGAAATAGCAGCTTGTATAATTAATGATGCTGCTGTGTTTCGTATGGTGAGTGTAGAGAACCGGAGACCCTTTATACTGGTAACAAGGCATTCCATCTCAGTCCTCAAAGGTGACAACGCATCTGCATTTTCCATATGTTCATGAGCCATAACATCCACTTACCACCAGGCGAACTATGTGCTTGTTATTCGTCATATCGCAGTTATTTTATAATAAAAAGTAAGTTAGTAAAGTAGAGGTATTTTTATAGAGACAAAAATATCTGTGCCATAGCGCAATTGTTAAAACAGCAATTCAAAAACCCGACTGGCTAAAATGTTTACTGAAAAGATAATTTTTTTATAACCTATGTCACTTCCACAAATAGGATAAATCTAAAATAACCTTTATTTCCAGCTTTTGTTTAATCTAATATTTAACGTGAGGATTTTGTGAGTTCAAGAAAACGAATATTAGCCACAGTTAATGGCTCATTTTCCTTTTACCTGACAGTTTGACTAAGAAGTGAGTATAGATTTGTGAATAAAAAGTATATCTTAGGAAAAATATTACTTCGATTAAAATATAAGTAAGAATCCGAGCTAACAAACTATTTTCAAGTATTGCATTTAGTATGATTCTCGTTTTAAAGTCATAAATCAAGATGCGCCGTGTAGTGGCGGTGTAAAAGAATCCGCTACCCCCAAATCAACCCCTAGGTGTCTTAAGGGGCGACAGAGGGAAATGAAACAGAAGATGGGCAGCAGCATTTAAGAAGATGCTGCTGAAGCGGCAGAGATTTATTATTTTGGTGGTTACCAAACGGCTGCCAATTCGCCTGCCTATGCGGGAGGCCGAGGTTCAGCGGACTGATAATGTAAGGAAGTCAGAAAAAAGAAACTCAAGTCAGGGAAATATTACACACATAAAGAATGCAAAATTTGAAGTAGTTCTTATTTTAAATTTTGCATTCTTTATATAATAACTAGTTGGCCAGGCAGACGTTTGCCCATACCGACGACCCTTTGTCCTATTAAAAATCCTTAAATTCGCAATTAAAAAAAATATTAAGGTCACTTATCGGGATAAAAACTATCCTATCTTTCAAGTTGGAGCGAACTGCACACTGTATGCAAAATTTTATTGAAATCAGTTAAGTAGTTTAGGAGTTCATCGCGGACAAACAACGTGACACGTAATTTTTTATATAAAGATTAGGTGTCAGGTATTAGATAATGTTTTGCAGCTATAATTTTGAAAAAGGTTACTTACCTAAAGTACCTCCTGTGAAGTCGCGGTAAGTAAACACATAAGCAAGACAGAAGTCTTCGTGGTTGCCTAGCGAGTGCAAATTTAGAAAATTAGACACATCGATGTTCTCTAAGCAGAACTGATTGGTCTCCGTGGAATAGTGATGCGGGTTGCACATAGAATCATCGTCAATCTGAAAATTAAAAAGAATATATGTCAATCTGGAAAAAAGTTGTATTAATTATGGATGGGTTAATATATGAAGTATGACTACACATATGACTACAAATTAAATAAAATTAGGTTAAAAGTATTGCGTAATAATTAACGATAGCAATATTTATGTGAATTTACATTCTATGATAGTCAAATTGAATTGAAGGTAATAGTTAATGACTTCAGAACTAAGACACAGCGTTTTACATAAGGTAGAGGTCTATACTCTATACATAAAAATAAAATTGTAGTGTCTGTATCGAATTTTCCAGTGATTCCAGATACTATAAAAATTTTACAGTGATACAGATATTTTTAATCTTACCTATATATAGCTAAATATAAGCTCATGTTACGTTAAATGTTTCTTATTTTGTTGTGAATTGAAATGATACTTTCCTGGTTTACCTGGTTTCTATCAAAGAATTCAACTCACCTTGATTCGTTGGACTTCAAACTTGATATTTCTATGCTCCAAACGTCCGTCGAACTTCGTATCCCTGTATATGTAGTTAACTGCTTCAACGTGATGTGATATTAGTGATAGGATTTCTTCTCGAGTTTTCATATCTACTTCGTTCTTTTTACTTGGATCTCGATGCTGAAAATTAAAATAAAATTTTAATTGTTATCATCTTTAAAATAATAACAATGCCCTCTGGACCGAATTTAAGTCACGGCAGCTACTCTCAACTGATGCTAGCCATCTGCGCAGGAGAGAATTATAGTGCACGTGTGAGTGTACTCAGGTGCACTCTCTTAGACCGATGGGAGGGAAATTTGACATGATCGAAGAGAGATCAGGCGCAGAACAAACGGCTTTACGTGAGTTTCGATGCACGGGGGTGAAACATAGGCAACTTCCTGACTCCGGGCTGTTACTGGGAATTTCTTGACAGATAGACCCAATAACCCGTACCTGAGAACCCTCATGAACAGCAGTCACGCTTACGAACGCTAGACCAAATACTATTACTATTTTTGTAAATAGAATATTTTGTAGTGCCTTTAGTATTAAGGCTGAGTCGCCTAAGTAAACTTATAGCGGAAACCCTCATCAAATGATCAAAAAGTCTGATCTAGGATAACCTGACATCCAATAAAAAAAATTAACTAATGACATCGTAACCATTGCTTAATCCTTATTTTTATAAAAGGATAAATATAAGTGGTCTCCAAGAAATTAACACCAGCATAAAATAGCGGCTTAATGCTACTGTGTATCGTATGGTGAGTGTAGAGAACCGGAGACACTTCTTACTGGAAACGAGGCATTCCATCTTAGTCCTCAGGGATGAGCATATGCATTTTGATTCTTAACCGCGGATAGATGTCGATGTCTATGGGCCACATTATCCAATTACCGTCAGGTGTACTGTATGATCGTTTATCAGCCTTATCCTATAAAAAATGGAGAGGCCAATACTGAATATCCATTCTTTCACATTCTTTAGACAAAATTTACCCTTTCCGTTGCCAGATCGCTTAACTTCCACCTTACTTACTATTATTACCTCATTCATTCATTCCTTCATTACCAAATTAATTAATTATAGTTAACGTTAGTTAAAGTTACATACTATATATGTCCCACTGCTGGGAACAGGCCTCCTCTCATATCTGAGAGAGTTTTAGAAAAAGGAAATGTTTGCCACACTGCCACAATGCGTGTTGGCGGACTTCACATGTCTTCGAAATATTTATTTTCTTATTTCTCAGACATGCAGGTTTCCTCACGATGTTTTCTTCACCGCCGAGCGCGTGATAAATCAGCACTTAAAAGTGCAATAAACAATTTCATTGGTGCCGGCGGGGATCGAACCCGGGTTGCTTAGGTACTGTGAGATTTACAGCGAGCGCTTAACCCCTGAACTACCATGTCTTTTTTTTTATAGGATAAGGGTGACAAACGAGCACACAGTCCACCTGATGGTAAGTGATTGCTGCGGCCCATAGACATCTATATGTATCCTCTATTACAAATCAAAATGCAGATGCGTTGTTACCCGTGAGGACTAAGATGGAATGCCTCATTTCCATACGAAACACAGCAGCATTAAGCTGCTATTTTACGCTGGTTTTCTGTGAGAGCGCGGTCCTTCTCCGGTCGAGCCGACCCATTCGTGCTACAACTGTACTACTAATATAGCTGCAGCATGGCTCTACCACGTCAATGTACTAAATGTCTCTATTAATTCATGGTCCACTGCTGAACTTGGCGCCCCCCATAGGTTTCATCATGGGATGGACATTTACTTTAGTTGCCACGCTTGGCAGATGGGTTAGTCGCAGTTTTTTATTATTTTGAGTTGCTATTAGGAAGATGCTGCAACACATCTTCTGTTTCATTTCCCCCTGTCGCCTCTTACGGCACCCTAGGGCTGATAAAAGAGGCAGGGTAAGGGTAATAGATTTCCTTACGCTTTCACTAGCAGAGAATGCTGACAGGTATTAAGTAAGGTGTTACAATAAAGACTAAAAAATAATACACGGCAAGTTTATTATTACCTGCTTGAACCTACATAAATACGGTGGATTGGTGCCTTACATTGATGGTTCAGTAAATAGGTACACTACGTTTAACATTAACATGAAAGAACCCCACTTTATATTCTCCCCCATAGACGTAACAGCGATTAAAGTAATTAAGAATAGATGGGACTTTAAGGGGTCGACGACAAAGGTAGCCTCGCGTTATTTTCTAATATTAATATGCGAATTGCCTTTACCTGCGCGTATTATTTTTGACTAATAAACGTGATGCCCTGGCCCTAGCAGTAGCGATACAAAGAGATTCCTCTTTTCAACGTTGAAGTTTCTTATCTTTAAACTAACATTTTATATAAACATTAAAGTAAAAACGCTAACGTTTGAGTTGAAGAGCGTTATTGTTGCGGTTTTATGATTGTCGTTGTCACACATTTGCACGATTGCGAATGCCCCCCTATCAATTTGCTCAATCGCAGTTTCTGACATGTTCAATTTTGATTTACTGCGTACATCTAGTGCATGGAATCTGTCATCTCAGACTGACATACATAATCTAGAATATAAAAATAAAATTGAAGTGTCTGTTATATGGAGCTGAGGGGTTCATTTCTAGGCCATTAAAACATGAAAAACCATTTTTAAAATTTTGTCTGAACGTTTGTCTGTTTGTTTGTTATAGACAGATCTGTACGGGCTTATCTTCAGAATGGCTGAACTGATCGTAATGAAACTTGACGAATGATAGAAAACAATGCATGGAGTAGTCTAGGCTATATTTTATACGAAAAACTTGCAATGTTTTTTTATAGGATAAGGGTGACAAACAAGCACACAGTCATAATTTTAAGAAAATTGGTTTAAATTAAGTAAAATACGTGGTAGAGCCACGCTGCAACTACATTATGGTTGTACCACGAATGGGTCGGCTCGACCGTGGTAGGACCACGCTCTCACAGAATACCAACGTAAAATAGCAGCTTAATGTCGCTGTGTTTCGTATGGTGAGTGTAGAGAACCGGAGACGCTTTTTATCGGAAAAGAGGCATTCCATCTTAGTCCTCAGGGGTGACAAGGCATCTGCATTTTGATTCTTAATTGAGGATAGATGTAGATGTCTAAGGGTCACAGCAACCACTTACCATCAGGTGGACTGTGTGCTCGTTTGTTACCCTATTCTATAAAATAAAAATTAGAAAGCAATTTCGACAAATCAAACTTTCTAACAAGGAGACTTTAATTGATAACCTCAAAATCACATAATTTACTTTAATGTCCATTTCGGATGCAGATAATATAAAAATTGGTAATTACAAATAATAATTAATTGCGTGATCAAAAATTTTAACCGGTTGTCTACACATCGTTATTTCTTTTCACGTTTGGTACTTTTTACTTTGTAATTAAAAATTTACTTCTATAAAAACAGAGAAAGGAATAAAATAAAACATTTTATTATAATTACTGTCCGAATATAATTTTACTTTTTAAAGTAAATGAATTAATTTTAATTTCTTTTATAGATACATTGAAATAAAAATGTTAACTACAAAGGGCATAACTATTTCTTACTGGCCTTAGTCTTTACTAAGGTTGACGGTATTCAGAGATATTTTTTTTATAGGATAAGGGTGACAAACAACCAAACAGTCCACCTGATGGTGAGTGGTTGCTGTCGCCCATAGACAGCTACATCTATCCTCGATAACGAATCAAAATGCAAATACGTTGTCACCCGTAAGGACTAAGATGGAACGCCTCGTTTCCAGCAAAAAAAGGTCTCCGGTTCTCTACACTCACCATACGAAACAGCGGCATTCAGTTGGTATTTTACGCTGGTATTCCGTTAGAAGGTGGTCCTTCCCCGGTCGAGCCGACCCATTCGTGCTACAACTATACCACTAATATAGCTGCAGCATGGCTCAAATTGGCTCAAACAAAAAAAAAAGTAATTTAGTGTTTAAGCTCAAACTTCACAGTGTCAAAATTTATATAATAAAAATATGGCTTGGACTCAAATTTTGACATTGTAGAGTTTAAACGAGTTTAGATTGTTTCTGAATGTCAGCCTAATAGATTGTGCTTCGGCGTTATTCATATTGCGTTTGCGTGACCGAATTTATTACTAATTGGCTAGTTTATTACATGAATTAGACTAATTGAAGTATGGCTCTATAACGTTCGGTAAAATAAAGCAATTTCTGCGGCATTCAAAAACCCACTTATTAAATGATAATCGAAAAAATTACAACCAATTTTGCACGCGTTTAGGAATTTCCTTAAATTTATAACACTTTGTAACTTTGTTCCTTAAATTTATAACCTAACTGTGTTTTGTTATGAAATTATATATCTAACTTATAATTAAAATTAAATACGTGTTGTTTTCAAATTGAAGTGTTTGATTGTTATAACAAAATAACTGCATTTTATTGAACTCTGAAGGTTACCGGCATGACCTCAAGTCATCAATAACCATTGTTTAAATTTTTGTCTGTTAGTCTGTGGGGCTAGCCTCCGGAATGGCTTAACCGATGTGATTGTGAAACTTTACGAACAGATAGGGAGCAATGCCAGGAGTGACCTAGGATATATATTATCTGAAAAGCTAAAAGATTTTATTTGTGAAATCGAAAAATTTATAACATCAAAAGGTCGTTGATCCTTAATCGAAATTATGACATATGCGACATTAACAGATACCACCCAGGCAAAGCAAAATTAAAACACGTTACAAAATACCCCGTAAAAAATATAATTAATTATCAAAGCCAAAAATTTTGTCAACTCTTGTAAACTGTAATGTCGGGGAACCAGATTATTTAACAGAAAAGCCTACGTACCTATTTTACCTAATAATTGTCTACTTTAAAAGATTTTCTGTTTTTCATTCATACATGTTTGCTAACTCAATAAAAGGATGTCACTATACTCAAGTACTGGCTTCAAAAAATGTCAAGTTGGAAAAAAATATGTTGTCAATTTCAAATCTTCTAATCCTGTAACTGTTTCGAGTTTTTTTTCCAACATTTTTTGCAAAATAACGATGCTTCTAACTCGGAATATTACGATATGATGTTATGCGAAGGCTATGAAGATATCAATTTAAAACGT